AACCGTATTGGGATTTAATGGACCGTATTGGGATTTAATGAACCGTATTGGGTTTTAATGAAGCATATTGGGATTTAATGAACCGTATTGGGCTTTGGTGGAATCGTACTGGGCTTTGGTGGAATCGTATTGGGCTCTAATGAACCGTATTGGGCTTTCATGAACCGTATTGGGCTTTCATGAACCGTATTGGGATTTAATGGACCGTATTGGGTTTTAATGGATCGTGTTGGGCTTTAATGGACCTTATTGGGTATTAATGGACCGTATTGGGCTTTAATGGAAGTATTGGGCTTTCCGGCGAACCGCTGGGCTTTAGTGAACCGTATTGGGCTTTAATGAACCGTACTGGGCTTTCATGAACCGTACTAGGCTTTAATGAACCGTACTGGGCTTTAATGAACCGTACTGGGCTTTAATGAACTGTACTGGGCTTTAATGAACCGTACTGGGCTTTTATGAACTGTACTAGGCTTTGATGAACCCTATTGGGCTTTGATGAACCGTATTGGGCTTTCATGAACCGTATTGGGCTTTCATGAACCGTATTGGGCTTTAATGAACTGTATTGGGCTTTAATGAACCGTATTGGAATTTAATGGACCGTATTGGGTTTTAATGGATCGTATTAGGCTTTGATGAACCGTATTGGAATTTAATGGATTGTATTGGGTTATAATGGATCGTATTGGCTTTAATAAACCGTATTGGGGTTTAATGAACCCTATTGAGTTTTAGTGGAATCGTATTGGGCGCTAATGATAATAATAATAACATTAATAATAATTTATTTTAAAAAAAAATTACTTTACCGGCGGATGGGTCCGCCGAAAATATTAAAAAGTTTAAAAAATTCAAATGCTCAAAGGTGACCGGGTTTTTTTATTGACTTTTATTGAAAAAATTCAAAAAAATTTGACTTTTAAAATTTGACCAAAATTTCCGGTATCTTCCTTTTATTAGCGCCTTTTATTTGACCAAAAAATTTGACTTATGAAACCCTAGTATCTTCCTTATATTAGCGTCGTGAACAAAGAGAGGAAGCACGAAGCAGAGGCCGTGAACTACCACCGATCTCGCCGTGAACTAAGCCGTCGATCTCGCCGCCGTGAAGCAACCGTCGTCGCCGCCGTGAAGCAACCGACCTCGCCGCCGTGAAGCAACCGCACGACCTCGCTGACCGCCTTCTGCCGTTGCCGCGGTGAAGCAACCAACCTCGCCGACCGCGTGCTGCCGTCGCCGCCGTGAATCTGTACGTATATGTATATATATATATATATATA